GTGTGTGTGTGTGTGTGTATAAAGTAGAAAATAACAGATTTTAGAAGAAGAACCTTAGTAAAAAAAAATATTTTCCATCTAGCCGAGCTTAAGCACTCATAAGTTTTTTATCAGTGATACTTTTCTATTTTTGTCTTCTACACCTTTTTCTTGTTGCCATTTTATTTATAGTGAAGAAATTTAAATAACAAGTAAATCCTCAACTTAAAAATGCACCATCAAGATTCTTGTATTGATACCCTAATAGATCCCCCGGACGAGAAATTCGATGTTGCTTATAATCCCTATTATTTATCCCAGGAATCTTCTTCTCCTGCAGTTCATCCGATCGATGCGCATCCAGCTTCTAGCTTTATTTTACTTGGGAAACTGAAGTCGTCCGTAAACGAGGTGCTTTATTCTCTAGGATCCGCGGGTAATACATACGATGTAAATGATTACATATCTGTTACAGAAGAGTGTCTGAAGGAGCTTAAGAATATCAAGCTAGGACGCCAAATTGAATCACGGCGTGCGAACATCCATAAACACTTAACCGTGTGTTCCCCTATAATCTTAGAATTACATGACGATTCGCATCGGGAAGAATCACCACAAGTTTGCACTCCAATACGCTCTCAAAGTGTTCTGAAAAATCACATTTCTGCGATTATGCGACAAAAAAAATTATCCCCAAAGGCATCGCCGTTTGTGTCGGATGAGATCACTCGGGATAATATCGAGGATGCTCGACACGCGTCCGCCCTTCGAAATGAAGAGCGTCAGCGACAGGCCGAAGAGCGTCGGCTCTATAATCTCAACGAGATTAAAATCCGTCTAGAAGCGGCCGAGGCACGTGGGCAGCGTGCAAAAGCAAGGAGAGAAGCAGCAGAGCAGAGACAAAGAGAGGAGACTATGGATCGACAGGAAAATGCCGTTCGTCGGATTGAGGAGGCTCGGAAGCAGACTGTTGAACGAGCACAGCGAGCTCATTCTCACGTCGACGAAGTCCGCCTTACAAATGAGCTACGTCGCCAAACTAAAGTTCTCTTACTCGACAAAAAAATGAGTGAAGTAGGGCATAACCAAGAAGTCAAGAGAGAAGCCCAGGAACGGCGTGCGCAAGAGCGACGGGAAGCGATGTCTGCTGCCGCCAAGCGACGCAGGGACCTCAGCGAAGAAAGGGCTGAAAAACAGCAACTAAGGGATCTGCAACGACAGGAAATTCTACGGCGTCTTGAAGAGCAAAAAAGATTGGAGCTTGAGTTGAAGCAACAAAAGGCCGAAGAATGGGAAAAAAGGGTACAACAGCGCCAAGAAGAAGTCCATGCTGAAATGGAAGCCCTAAGCCGAAAAGCTGAAGAAAAGTTTCAGCAAAGCCAACAAATTCTCGAAGAGCAACGTGAGAAAAGAAGACAAAAGTTAGAGAGGGAAGACCAAAAACAGCGTGAAGCTAAGAGTCGGCGTGACCGTGAGGGAGAATCGAAGACGATGGTTCATGAAACAATGGCATTTATTTGTGTTCAGAAAGACGACGAGATGCCATTTCGCGTATCCAAGCTTGTCTTGTCCTCTTCTAGACAAGGAAAAGCCTTTTCTGATAATTATCAAAAAGAGTGTCTCATTTCCACGAAAGATCTTAACAGGAGTAAGCTTCGCGTCGCTTTTAGTCGACTCTCCACCTTTTTGAATACCACCTCTGTTGTGCAATGTAAGCAGCCGTTGCACGACATCAGCGCATTGGATTTGTGTAGTATAGACTATGAATTTATCCGTTATTTCAATTCATTTGAGATAATTGCAGGTCTTATTACCAGCGCAAGGAGAGCTCGTGATGTGGCTGTAGTACAACAAGCCACTAGCCTGTTGCGACGATTGTTTGTCGATGAAGTAGAAGGAAAGCAAAATGTGATATACTTCCTGAGGAGCGGTGATTTGGTGCCTTTGCTTTTGGAATCATGGGAAGAAGCAACGTTTCTGCGACAACATAACAATCCTAGTACCAACGCTGATATTATTCTTTCAATTTTAGAAGTTGTAGGCACCTGCCTTGAACAGGTGTGTTTTGATAATCAGTCTAAAATTGCCCCTCTGCTTAATCAAATATTAAATGACCTGGACATAACGGGCGTCGATCGCATTTGTTTCTCAATAATTAAAACACCATCTATAGAAGCAGAACTCAACCTTACGCATTGTGCACTGCGGATTTTATATGCAGAGTTGAACGTCATTTCTCGTTATCGCAACGAATCCCGAACCCTTTGGTTTCAGCATGTCACTGCTTCCTTTTTTTCGTTGCTTCAGAATACTGTACTTGCCGATAAAAATCCATCACAGCCTGAACGATCGCTTAGTGGTGCTCAAGTAGTTGTGCTCTTCAGTGCATTACGTGTACTCAACATGCTTGCACGGTGGCAACTCTCCGCTTTTCAAAATTTGCTTTCTGAAGCCATTACTTCAGTTACTGCCACTTCAATCTCTGAATCAAATGGTGGGGCACTCATAAAGGACAACACCACACATGTTGCCGATTTGTTTCGGCCTCTGCAAATCACAAGGATGGAGCTTTTTCATGTTCTTAATGGCTTTTTTGCTTACATTCAGGAACATGTAGAGGATCTAGAGGTGATACCCCCAAACGCGGGCTCGTCTGCGCCAAGCACTGCTAAAGCCTCTTCATATGAGGACGCGCTGAGAGTTGGCATCACTTTAACACGTTTGCCTACTTACTTGTTCCCGTCTCCAGCATCCAGAGGTGCCAATGGGTATATTGCTGAAGAATACAAACCAGGCGGAAAGAGGTACCCCCTTCGAGCAGCTTTACATGAATGTATTTTGCTGGTTGGGTATCTCTGTTTGGATAATCCCTTTTTACAAGAAATGATCTCCTGGGGCAAGGGGAAGACCTTAATAGGAAATATGTTAAGCTTCCTTCCAATTCACTACTTCTCCAGCGCTCGACATATCCTCTTTCCTACCATATTATGTTTAATATGCGAAAACAACCAAATCATCAAGTTTATTCAGGATGAAATGGAGCTGAAGGCGTTACATTCTTTTCTTTTTCAGGAGTATGAAAACCTTAGTAAAAAAGCTAAGTCATACGCTCAAACGTACTCGCAGCAGTTAGAAGCCTATCGATCAAAGGTGGATGCACAATGTTCTGTTGTGAATACTTCAACAAAAATAAAGGGCAAATGTTCGACCGAAACGGTGCATGAAGATCAAGATATCTTAGACACTACACCACGTTCTACCAATATAGGGGAAACATCACCCTTTCTCGAGAAAGAGAGGCTCTGTAAACTTTTAAGAACATGTGGTGTCTCGTCAGATCCGAGCTTTTATCGTATTGAACGTCGGTTACCTATTTCATATTGGCCAGGTATTTTGAATCAACTTGAACAATTCCTTAATTAGATGCCCTAACGATTCCAGTGAGCCCTCGTGTTTACAGTTTATTTTCTGTGTGTCAGTCTGAGGAAGGCTTATCTTTGTATAATGTATCACCACTTGAATTCGTTCTTGAATTTTCCTATCGCTTTATTGGCATGTGGGAATTATATTTTACCCACCTAATTATATTATGGACATGACTCGGCTATGTCTTTGCTGTTGTAGCCCTCACTTTGTGTGATAAGCCTGTATACTTTTATTAGAATCCTTAATGATTTTTTTGTACTTCTTCTCTTTTTTCCACTTACACGTTCATAATAGGGTACATTTCAAATTATATCCAAATAATTTAGATCCTTTTAGTTTGGTCGGGATTTTAGCCAATCATCACAGATGCTTTCATAATTAAATTAAAAAAAAACTCAATTCTAGTAATATTCGACCGCGAACAAGATTTTAAACGCTCGATCTTTCAGTGAAATTTTTTACTTACTTAGTTGATTGAAAAAGGTAGCTTCAGGGAAGTGTATAAAACAAAAAATCATTTTAAATAGCAACCCAATCGTTTTTTAAATAGAGAGAAATACTGGTAAACCCTTTTTTCTCTTCCACGAATCAATGTTATGCATGATATACCAAAACTACGTTTTCAAGACGGCATTACAGGAATTGCGACACTCAAGTGCTATGAGTAGAAGGGAAACTAGCCAGTGATACTCATGACTTTACATAGTTTTTCATCTGAATCTATACTTGAAAAAATGAAGTACTTCTCTCTAAAGACCACAGTCATACTTGTTTACTCAGTGATGTCCCGTATGTAATAAGCAGACACTGTTGGCTATATCCACCGAGATCTTAAGATGGATAACTTTCTTGTAGGAAAAGGTGGGAGTTCCCAGCATATTTTTCTCATTGGCTTTGGGTTTGCACCAAATGTCACATCAACAGCCTCGGACACCAAAAAGTAGTGGTGAGAAAACGCTTTCTGGACGGATCACGATTGGCCTCCCTGAACACGCACAAATATTTCTCACTGAGTCATCTGGACATCATGGAGCAACTTATATAAACAATGATTTATAGGTACCGTGTTTCTTTACTATAGAATGATTGCAATATATAATATTCTGATACCAATGAAAATTACATTGAAAGGCTCAAGGCTCCAATGCCTGTAAACGACATTTAGGTCAAGTGTCCCGTCGGGTTGTTGACTTTTTGTTCTACGTACGGTATCTGTCCTTCACAAAAGACTTCGCACCACGAAATGTGCTATTCTTTTCTGAAGTCGTTTTTACAAGAAATGGACCCCCCTGAGCCGATTGACAATATATTCAATTGGAATTGATCTGCCAAGGAAACCAAGAAACAACTGTTGCAAGATGTTTTTTTCCTTAGTACAAATATTAATGAGAAAAAAACTTCGCCACAGGTAGTCGAAGGTCTGGCAAAGCGAGTTAGCAGTGTGAAGGCCCAAGGCGTGGCATCCAGAAATGGAACTCATCATTTATCACATAACATTGTCAGTATAGGTTATTGTGTATAAAATTTTATGCCTACATAGCTAATTTTGAAATCTATTTTCATCAGGTCAATTTAAACTGAACAACAGCTCAAAGTGTGTTAGAATCGAGCCTAAGTTATTATTTACTTCTTCATTCACCCTCTGAATGCTGCATCACATATATGTATTAACTACTCAGTCTGATTTATGAATTAAATAACACATTCTACGCTTTGGTTGTTTTCACTTCATTCAATGGTCGATATTATTTTGAATAAATATAATGAATTTATATTTTATAAACCACGCAATAATAATAAAGTCAAAGTATATTTATCAGCTTAATTTATAAGAATTCGATTTCCATATTTTTTACTACAAAAAAAATATTTCATCGATCCCCCTTAATTTATGTTTATTATTATTATTTTACATCTTCCTTTTCCTATCTATGAAATGTATTATCTTTTTTTCTGTTTACTCAATCGACATGAATGGCCTCTTTTATTATATTCGTCTTTAAAACGATCAGATCCCAAACAATAATAGATACTTTAGTGTTATTTACTCATAGTGATCATAAAATATTTGGAGTTTTTCATCTCAGTATTATATTATGTCTTGCTTCATGATTTATACGTTATATTACACCTTTAATAAAGTTACAATACCGTTCTTGATTATATATATATGAAAATTTGTTCGAAGTCTCCACATTCTTCCATAATTCTTTATAAATACAATGGGAAAACTTCTCTTCTCTGATTTTTTATTTGTATCTCTTTTTTTTTTGTATTTGGTAGTAGGAGTGCAGTGTATACTTTTCCTTTTTTCATCCTGTTATTATTATTTTTACGTTGTATTAATAGACAAATTATTTAAGCCCCTGAGCTATTCCTATTTAATAAGCATCATGTTCCGTACGAACTTTCGGCGTCTTGCCCATCAGTTTATGAAAGAGCCAATGGGGAACGAAGAAAACACCTTCTCACGCTCCCAACGTACTCGCCGAAATGTCCTGAACCATCTGAATGGTTTGTATTTATTTACTGGCACTGGCTGCCTCTGTGCGCTATATTCATTCATATCTGCACAAAACCGTGTGTACGGCTGCGTTGTAGCTGATGGAAAAATGGGGAAATCAACTTGCCCAACTATGTGGTGGAACTTTTGAAAGGGATAGGGAAAATTATCTGTTGCTATGAATTTATGTGCAAATATTTATCTTGTAGTGTGCTTTGTGTTCCCCATTTAGTAGCGATTTGTGAACATAATGTGCATCTTTGCAAAACGAACAACAGATTATTTTGAAATAGGATAGGTTTGCTTACCAAATATTTTTATATTAGATTTTATTGTGTTCTTTTAATGAATAAGTGGTATATATTCGTGGATTTATTTTTGAATATGTATATATCTAAAATATAGCTATGCATCTTTAATTATATATTTTTTCATACCTTACCTCTTCTTTTTTTTCATATTTTATTATTAGTAGTAAAAGTTACCAATATGCGATCGAGAAAAACTTTAAAGAAGTCAACAAAGTCTTTACAAAAAGTTTCAAGCAACGTTTTGCGTGTCCAAGAACCATCTCTGCGCGATGTGTATGTGAAAGCGTGTGCAGAAAACGGAGTTCATGCAAATAGTGGAATCGTTGCGATGCTTCCAGACAAGCCGGGTATGGCGTATCATAGTGAGACACTTGACTTTAGCAATAATTATATCGGGGACCGAGGCGTCACTCCCCTTCTAGCGGTTGTTGAAAAGGTTCACAATCTCAAGTCAATATTGTTTATGGAGAATGGTCTCCGCAATAAAGGGATTGATGTTCTGTGTAATGGTGTGGAAAATCACCCTAGCCTTGAACGCATCGATGTTTCGGGTAACTGCATAAGCGAAGGTGCGGCGTTAAGCTTAGAAAAACTTCTTTGCACGAACAAACGCATTGTGGATCTCGCTATTAATTGTAGCAAAATTAGCGTTGAGTGGCGAGTTAAGTTGAAAGATTTGGTTTCTCTAAACCGTAGCACTCAGTTTTCTCACGACATAGTATAAGGAACTGCAATGTCACCACTTTGAAGAAAGAAAACTGAGTTATTAAAACCCAATAGCACTTGTGTTCGCGACACAAATTCATCAATTTGCTCATACATTGGAGTCATATATGTAAAATTAGTAGGTGTTATGTAAATCTTGTTATTGTGACTTCATTCTCTGAGTTCTATAACAAAGGAACAAATATCGGAAAAATAGATACAAAAAAAATATTATCGTGCCTTTAATGTAGTCACTTCACGACAGGGGGAAGACTGAAAGGGTAAGGTAAAGTGACAGAATGTGCTGTATATCGGTCTCCATCTTTTTAACCTTTCTGAATTCAAGGGCTTTGAAATAGTGTTTTCGAATTATCTGTTCGATGTCAACAATTCCAAAAACTGCTAGGCTAGATGCTGTCATCCCAGCTTCCCATCAGAAAGTTTTTGCAACCTTGTTGAGAGTTAATGCTGAAAAGGGTCTTAATACTACCCTTCGCGTTGCCGGTGGGTGGGTACGCGACATGCTTCTTGGTTTGTATTCGAGTGATATTGATATCGCTATTGAGTCACCTTCAGGTTCAGTAGTGTCAGGGGAGCGATTTGCCAACGAAGTATCAGCCTTTGAGGCGACGGAAAGCGGGAAAGCCCATACAGTAGGTGTTATCCGAGTTAATCCAGCTCTTTCTAAGCATATCGAAACTGCCACTGTTTGTGTGCATGGCATCCCGGTCGAGTTCTGCGCGCTTCGAGCGGATGAGTACTCTTCAGACACCCGCATCCCACAAGTAAGGCCTGCCACTCCCTTGGGGGACTCTCTCCGAAGGGATTTTACCGTAAACGCTCTTTTTTACAATCTCAACACTAACATCGTAGAGGACTACACCACAGGTCTTGAAGACCTTCAGGGGTGCATTATTCGATGCCCGCTTTCACCAAAGGAAACGTTTTTCGATGATCCGCTTCGTTTACTGCGGGGGGTACGCTTTGTCGGCCAGCTTGGGAAGCTGAATTTTAGTCTTCATAACAATATTCTTGAGTCTGTGGACGACGAGTTGCTTGATAAGCTGTCTCATAAAGTGTCTCGGGAGCGTGCTGGCACTGAATTTACTAAAATGATGACTACTGCTTTTCCTGAAAAGTGTGTTGAGTTGCTTTTTGACATGCGCTTGCTCCAAAAATACTTATTAGCGGAGGTTTATATGAAGCAGCTTCCAGGTAAAAAGAAGTTTTCATCGGAAATTGAACGAATCGAGTATCTATCTGACAAAGAAATCAATAGTCAGCGCGCTCTTGAGAGCGTCATGGAGCTCAACACCATAGTTTGTCCACTTTTTTCTAAGCCATCTTCACCCCTCTTTGTAGAAGAGAAGGGCAGACTGATAGCTATGATGTTTGAGCTTATAATTCCATTTTTCCGAAGTGTCCCACCACCCGAAGTTGAGAAGCGTCTTTACGCACTCTGTATTAATGGTTTAAAGCTTCCGTTATACACCTTTCACTCTATCCAGGCTATGATAAACTGTTACAACGTACTTCGAAGCTATAGCTTGTCAATCACGGCTCTACATCAGGCTGATGTGACCGATCCCACCAAGCTAATTGTTTTTGAAGCTCTTGGTCACTTAAACAATTCATCTGTTATATCGAAAGCTTTCAATATTGTTCTTTATACTTTCTTGGTGTTGGAGGAGAATTTCAACTTATTGCATAGCACCGGGGAGCCAAATAAGGTAATGGATTTTTACATATCGCTATGGCGCCGACTAGAGGCACAACAAGGTTTGTTGAACGCCTATCAACTGCAGTTACCAGTAAAGGGAAGTGATTTGAGAAATATTAAGGGGATAAAACCAATCAATATTGGGGCTCTGTTAATTGATATTCGTAAAAAAGTTATACTGAATCCATCAATCAGTCGCGAAGAAATAATCGATTGGTTAAAAGAAGTGGGAGGAAGTAATCTAAAGACTTGAACTGCTTCTCTAGCGTCTTCTACCTCCAGACTTATTTTTTTCGTATTTGCAATTTTTTTTTTTTAGCCAGGCATAAAGGGTAATGGTGGTATATATAAAAAAGTGAACCTTGTTTCAGTGATTATGCTTAGATGAAAAAAAACTTGCAGATTACATACATTTTTATTTTTCCTTTCATTTTATTTTCTTATTGTTTTTTGTACGGGAAGGCATACTCGACTCTAATTTTAATAGATTTCGTCCATCATACTCTACCAGTTACAAAACCTGATTGGGATACACTATAGTCTTTTCGATGAGCTCAGTAGATTTAGCTCCCTATGAGTTTCTTCAATTACACCTTACCAAAGGAGGTTGCATTCCCTCAAAACATATTTCTGTCTTGCGAGTGCGGGAGATTGACAGAATCCAAAAGCGTCTCGGAAGCCGTGTGATGCTCTTCTGCGCAGATGCCGCTAACGCACCCACAATCTGGACCATGCAATGTGGGCAAAAGCGCGTCAAGGATATACCATGCAAGAAGACCAAAGTCATCACACACATCGTGAGCGATGGCTCTTTCACTGGTCTCTTTCTCCTCTCCAAGAAAGGTGTAGATTTTGTGCTTCTGGATCATCTACCGGATCAACCGTGGAAGTTGCGATCAAAACCACGGAAGTTTTCGAATGACCTAAATGAACTCATGACTTCATTTTATGATCAATCTTCTAGCGTCAAGAAAAAAAGGGATATTACACAAGGGCTTTTTATTGTGTACAACGCCCAGCTCAAATACTTTGCCAGCACTGGTGTGCTTATCTTAGCGGTGCTGGTACGTGATACCCTAGGAGGTGGTCTGCATCTTTTGCTTGGCTCCCTTGCGCATAAGCGATGGCGGCGATGGGATGTTGAGGAGAGCTATGGTGTGAATTCTGGTATTTACATCGACCCCAATAGTGGTACTGTGACTTTGATGAGATGTTCTATTGGCACACCAGTAAAAGCTATCAAAGTGGATGAGGCAGCTCCGTCCGTCCCATTCTCCCTTATGGTATTTGACCTCATTTATCCGATGTGTCGAAACATTGAAGCTTCACACTCAAACACTATTGCATGTGCTCTTTACCACGAGTTCACTGTTAACCTCAATGATCAATATCTCCCTATGCAGCGAACCTTCCAAAGCCTTGGCTTCGTCATTCCACCTTCAGAAAGGGACTCTTGTCGTAATTGCCCAGTGACAATTGATTCAACCCCTACCCCATTGTTTTCTTTTTTGTTGCGGGTTGGAGGTGAATCTTTCATTCTTCAGCTCACATATTCATCCAACAAAGACGAACTTGTGGCTGTATCTCACACACTTCCCGCAACACTTCAAGTTTCCATCCCTTTAGCGCTTGCTACAATGAAAGTGAATGAAAACCCACATCATCTAGGTGGTCCTCTAGTAACATTCATTCTTACTAAAGATTTAAAGCTTTTTGCCTTTGATGGGACTAGCGTTATTGAGGTACGAGTGCTTTTTGCTAAGGACACAACAAATAACCTAAAACAAATTGGGCAACAAATGGCATCCGAGAGGAAACTCCCTGAGCATCAGGATAAATTGCCTCATACAGATTCTAAGGCTGATGTTTCAACAGCGACTGATAATATTAAACTTCTACTTGTTGGACAGCATGAACTGTTTTGCACAGATGGTAAGATTGCAGTATTTCTTCACTTAACAGGCGTGAACTTACAAAAAACTAGCTTGAATGAGAAGGTGATGTGTATCGCTGCCGATATCTTGGAGCCTAAAATTTTTGATGAAAGTATCGCGTGCGAGAAGTCCCTGGGGTTGCTTTCTGATATCTTTGCATCGGAGCCTGTAGGTCGTCAAGAATTAGGTGAGATTTTTCTCAAGGAAATTGCTCCGATCCTTCGACGGGCTTCCAAAATGCCGGCTTATACTCCTTTAATCCAACGTGTATTTTTGCTTTTGCTACAAATATTTTCGCCTGTCACCGATACAGATTGGCAAAATTTCTCAACACTAGCGCGAATTTTGCAATACTCGATAGATGGGCAAAGCTGCGCCAATCACATTGTGTATACGGATCAATTTTTTGTCAATTTAATTAACCAGTACTATAGAAATAATCCTAACTCCAAGATCGAGCCGCATACAATAAATCAAAAACTGCGTGAAATTATTTCCAACAAGGAGGAACATCCTGAAAAGTCACATTCAATCGAGGATAAAGAAGGTTACAGAAAGAGTGGTCTTTCAGCTGAATTCCAGTTCTTTTTAGATGGTCTTACCACACGCGCACCACTGCTTTCATTCGCAGAGGAGGTGGTTCGGCTGTGTGTGGTTTTAGAAACACTTCCAACAGGGGCTATATGCGCAGTACTTCCTAAGGAAGGCTGTGAGATGGTTGTACATGCCATGGGCATTGTCCTTTTGGCTTCATCATTTGATATTCATCTTTTTGTTGGTGTTAGCAATAATAATGAATCAATAACATGGTCTCTTGTGCAAAAAGAGCCTTCATTTATTGATGTTCCTGCGTACAAGTTTGACGATCGAACGAAAGTCGAGTACGTGTTTACCCTAGCAGTCGACTTACTGTGCGTTAAAACTACAGACCTCCCTTATTCTTTGAGCATTCCCATCGTATTGCTTACCATGAGTCAACGTCAACATTGTTTAATTTCTCTACTGAACTTATTTTTGCCTCAAATTCTGCAGAGTTTAGACAGGGAGACGTTAGCCTTGTCCAATAACACGGAATGGCTTGAGAACTGCATTCTAACGTTAAATAAAGATCCCATTGAAGTAGTTCGCACCTTTATCCAGGCACCAACGAGGGAGACGAGTCTTAAGGGTACTACCACCGCGACCGCACTTTGCTATGCATTATGTGGCACTGGGCTGTATGACAGCATTACTCTGGTCAACTACGTCCAGGAGTCAATTTCTCAGGAGTTATGTATTGCATCTGTTGTAATATTTCTATTCACTATGACAGAAAAATTAGTTGATGCACGGAACAACTACGCTGCGTCGATTGCAAGGCATATTTTAGACAAGCATGATACTGATACACTTGAAGCCGAGGAGGTTGTTAGGTACAATAGGGAATTTTCTACAATCATAGAGAACACTAGAGCGGCATGGGTAAAGGCTGATTCAGTGTTACCGTACAAGGTTCATGACATCGCGGCTAGTTATGAGGCTTCTATTTCTATGTCATTTAGCAATAGCGTCATCTTGACAGAAAACAAAAGTACTATCGTTTTGCGTACCCTTGTCATGTGCTTCAGAATTTTTGTATTGGTTTACTATTCGAAGACACTGGAACATCGTCTGGAAAAAACCGTGCTGGTTTGTAAAAAGACTGTTGAATCCTGTTGCGACATCAACCAGAACTACCCAGCTGTCCATGGCAGCCTAGAGGCTCTTCATACTATTCGAACACTTAAACACAGTGGACTACCGGTTGAAAAGTTCCAAGGACAGCTTATGATGCTGATAGAGGGAGCAGCAGACATCTGTGCTACCGGTAAGCATTCAAAATCGGCGCCCTGGTGCTTCTTTTTTTTACATGTGTTATCCCTCTCGGGTATCTCAGAGACCTCTATAGCGCCACTAAAGAAGCGATACTACACTCTCTTGGATCGTCTGCAGAGCCAGTTAAATAAGCTTGCGAACCAAGAAGAAATGGATAGAAATATCCGAAGCTGTGTCGAAAAAGCAAAAGCTACGGGGAGCACCTTGTCCCTAGATATTGATATTGAAGGGAAAGTTTTTTATTTCATTTTTTCTCATTCTAGGGATTCTAGCATTCCTCAATGGGTCAAGGATCAAGCCTTGACAGGACACAAATACTCAATCACAACAGACTGGACACAGCGAATGTGGGGTGTTGAAGGAAAGGCAGATATTATCAAAGAGGCCACTGAGTTACTGGTTTCCTGTATAAAGGAAGGAACAAAGAAAGCTGTTATATTCATATCTGAGGCTGGATCCAACCATCGTTTAAAAGACCAACCCAAGCCACTCTTTGATGATATCTTCCACATTATTATTCCCGGTTATTCACACGCAGGGACCGAGTGTCCCATTCCAGTGCAAGATGTCCAAGGTAGTCACGACGTTGAGGGGGAAAAGGCCAGCATTGAAAAGGAGGAGGCATATAGTGTTGACAAAGAGGTCGTTGCTCTCAAAGCGTCCTCACAAGAAGAACCCTTAGTCTTAGAAAATACTCCAGTAATAATATCTCAAAGGCCTATGTTTGAAGTTTCTAATGCAGAGGAAATCGTCTCCCACACGCAATCGCCACCATTGGTGCATTCTCGGGTCGATCCAACATTTGCAACTTCAGACCAACTAGCGTATCAGGATATTGAACGGTGTAAAAGTTTATCGCTAACGTCACACAAGGGGGATCACATCGCCACAGATCCGATAGAGGATGGACCAGCGCTGTCTGACACACTCATAACCAGCACAACCGCCACTAGTGAATCTTTCACGGGCACTGAAGTATCGCAGAAGTCAACTGAAGAGCCACTGAGATCCTATGATGACAACAAGTATGAGAGGATGTCTACTTCAAGCAGAATAAAGTATCACAGAAAACGATGCCATCATCATCATCATCATCACCATTGTTGCTGCCGATGCAAGAGGTCTCATAGGCAATTAGATTCTAATAGAGTAAGGTTAGATAAGAACAGCCATGGGTGGATTGAGGAAGATCAGGCTGCTCGAATAGCTACCACATGGATTCCATCAGAACCTCAGTTGTGTTCTAATGAAGTTCATAATGATCTGTACTTCAAAAAAACTGGTATTCAGATTCAGCACTCTAGTACTGCGTTGAGGCCGCCACTGGAATCCCCAAGGAAGACTCACATAGATGACTTCAATACCCCAATCTATCAGCGCATTGATGACATTCAGTCTAATGGCCACGGATATATGCCTCAAGACATCAATAGGGGTCTGTCGCTTCTCACTTTCTCGCGTCACCAGGGCCAGCAGTCTCAGAGTCCTAGGGTTCGACTTTATTCTGCCCACCTTGGCGATTCTGGAACCTCAATAAATGAATTAAAGCAAACTCTGGAATGGATAGGCCCCACTGCGTCGTCACCTTTTTTGAATAAAGCAATGTCATACACAGGTGCGCCGCATTTAGAGCCTCCTCCAATTCCATCCTCCGATGTCTTTCAGAAGCCACCCCCATTGTTGCATTTGCGTGAGCGTGTGGCAATTAGTGAGTCGGGGGCAATTACTGCCACTGCGAATTATCTCCCTACCGAATCTGTGAGCACAAATCCATACAAATCTACTTTTCCAGACGGCGCCGATCTTTTTCAGACCAAACCCCTGGCAAACGCATCGGGGCCACCCCAACAGTTCCAGCAGCCTCAGGCCTCCCAGAAGTTTACCGAAAGAGCGCCAGCGCAGCTGTCAGCTTCTCTTCCAAGTTCCAATCTATTGGTCCAAGTCCCCCGGGAACCGACAGTGCCTATGTCAAGCGATGACGTTGAACTGGTGCCTGCACAACCGGCATCCAGCACACCAATCCTGGAAAGTAATCATGATATTATCCAATCCAACACTGAAGCTAAATCATTTTCTGTGCCAGACGTGAAACAGGCACATCTGACACCAATCGAAATAACTGAATTTAAACGTTATGTTGACGATTTAATGTGTAAAATGAATGTTGTTCCTTCAGTACCCGTGCCTGGCGCTATTACATACTCCGCAACATTACCACTCGCGTCCGATAATGTTTCACAGGAGAAATACCCGCAAGCGCTTCCGGTCACTATTGACAACTCCTTGAGCCTGAAATCTGAAGATATTGTTCTTCGTTCTAAAAACCCTAGCCCTTCTCAGCCCACTTTAGCACCTGCTCCTCTATTGCAGTCGCTGCCCTTGTCTTTGCCAAATGGACAGAACGGCCTCACTTCGGTGGAACAAGCCCAACTTGTTCAAAAAACTATTAAACAAAAAAATGAGTTGCTAAATTTAACTATGGAACTTTCGGAGATGCAGTTGCGTGCTGCCCACATTGGCGATAACTCCGCATTTAAACCTACAGCCATCGTGGAGGAACACAAAGATCACACATTGAGCTATGGTAAAGACCAACCCATGTTCCAAATACAGCCTTCTCGCAACTCTGATAGACTCAAATTAATGTCATCTGTCCAGATCCAAACCCAACAGTCAGCCAAAAACGATGTCTCTGTGGATGCTGCATTACCACCATTCCATCTCATAAGCACAGTGCCTTTTAGGGATTCTACTACTACTACTCCAGTGGTGAGCATTACCAACACCATTTCGGACCTGGAGCATCTCAATTCAAAATTCCAGGCAATCAATGCTTCCACCGAAGCTATGGAGAAGGCCCTCCATGAAACACGCGAAACCATTCGGAGCTATGAAAAGCTCAAACCTATGGAGGCCATGGGGATAAAGGAAATTGCTCTGATAAACTCGCTCCGCTGCAAGACAGCCGCTGCGGAGAGGCAACTGATAGAGTTGAATGGTCTACCCATGGCAACGCAAATGCAATCTCGTCCTCTAGAAGTTCAGCTGCCGAACTGTCAGAAGCCCTGTCCGGGTGTTTCTGCTCGTAATCTTCAATATGGGAAAGACGAGATCACAGAAAGTGAGATTAGTGCACAGCAACAGAGTGTCGTCAATACATCCCAAACACGCTCCATAAGTTTTTCCACATGTGAAAATAAGTATCTTGAAAAGCCAGAACGGAAGGAAGTAAATTTAACCAAACAGCAACAATCGAACGGAGCCGCATCAGAGCTTTGCAATGCCGATGTGTCTGATCCACCGCTGCTTCGTTCGCCTTCTTTGAAAATAAAACAGTCAAACCAATCCTCACCAAATTTGGCATTGATAGCCCCCTGGAGTCCGTACCAAATCGAGACTTCTGCTTTACCAAACACTCACAAGTATCTTTCTGTTAAAGAATCTGTCTGGAAGGACACCAATGAAAGTGGTGAGCATGCAGTGCGAGGTGTCTCTTTGCCTAATCGTAAAGCAATATCACCGGTGAATCTCCTGAATGAATTATCGGTGTGCCAGGGCGCACCCTCTCATAAATCCCGCATGAAGGTGTCCCAAAACATTAGGAAACTCTCCTTTGTCGGACCGACTAATCTTCTTACGGTTTATCAAGAAGCCCCAAGACGTCAGCTCAATGGAATACGACAGCAGCGGTGCCGTACACCTTTTCATCCTCAGCGTAGCCGCTCTGCGGTTAAACCAAAAGGTAAAATAATATCACCTGAGGTCGCTGCCAATCAGTTGCCGTCTCGTACCGCTAGTAAGGACGCGACGGATCGCTTCTACATGTACCGCAGTCAACTTTGCATACCGAAAACAAGTAAAAAGGATTTTTCCAGAGAAAATAAACTGAAATGTGTGACCCCTTTTCAGACTTTAAACAACAACGAATTCTGTGAATCTCTAGATGTAGCGGTCAGCAATGAGGTATTGCCATTCGAGGATGGGAATCAACCAAAATTAATAGAAACTTCAGCTTTTGTTGAGCGCCAGAGGCGTCGACGAAGTGCCAACATCGAAAAACGTATTCACCAATTGGAGCGCGAATTCGTATAAATGCATTAAAATTGTTTGTAGTCCTCTACGCACATAGAAATCAAAGGTGTAAAAGAATTTAGACACACTATTTCATCGCAACATACTTCAATATTAGTATTTTTTTTACTTTTCTCATAAATCATAGACCAGAGTATATATTTATAATGTGATATAGAAGCAGCTTTCCTCAAGCTTGGTATAGAAATTCATTAGAAAAAAACATATTTCAATGTGATTTATGAATAATATCCTTACCTTTTACCTTTTTATTCTTGGTGTTATACTAGCTAGAAGTAGGCTTCTGTTTACTATCTTGTCTCATTTTTTCCCCTCAATACTCAGGGTTTCCTACCTACACGAATTTCCTTAATTTCCTAAATTAATCTCTGTTAATCCAAATTATACTTGTTGCTCTTGCCACCTGTGATGTACGGGCAACAGTTTGTGTCGAATCAAGTGTACGGGCAACCGGGCATGATGTCGTACCCATCTGGCATGCTCCAGCCACAGGTTGCTTCAAACATGTCCGGGACTATGATTCCTAATTATTATTCACGGCAAATGTACCATGGAGCATTTCAGCAATCCATGTCTGCTTCTCTTATGACTCCGTCGAAACAGTCGTTCCCGACGCAACCAATGCAACAAAGCCAACAAAACAGTACTCATTCTTCTCGCTCCATGCGGGGTCGCAACAACGAGATTGGAGACATCAGCAGCGTCATTCACATGAGAAACGTCACACCCGAGGTAACGCAACTTAGCATTCAGAATTTTGCTGCTAACTTTGGTAACATTAAGCATATTGTGATGCTTCGCCAAATGAACCAAGCTCTGGTGGAAATGGAAAGCAAAAAATCAGCACAGCAGCTGGTGGATTTTTTTAAAGATCCTGGTTACGTCGAGGTTGATGGTCGTCGCGTATATATACGATACAGCAATCACCAGAGCCTCACTTCTACTCAGCAAATCAGCCGCACACTCCTGGTGTCCATGTTTAATACGCACTATGACGTTTCCTCAGCTGCTCAGATCACTCCAGAAATTGTCTACCAGATTTTCTCGAGCTACGGCACCGTGCAGAGGATAGTAGTGCTACCTAAGAATGAGTCTAGTCAATGGAATTACAATCGCATTCAAGCACTTGTCCAATTTGATAATCGTGAAAGTGCCGAGCATGTGAAAAATATTCTACAGGGACAACCTGTTACATTAGCGGACACTATAACTTTCATGTTGGATATTCAGTTCTCCCGTATGGATGAAATCAAAACTACCAATCCGATGACCTCGATTGTAGTGGATGAAAATGGAATAGCACAGCGCCCACTACTACAGCAAACATCTTCGCAAACGTCGAATGTAGCGGGAAGAGCAGGCGGTATATATGTCGGGTCACCGGCGCAACAGTGGAATTAGATCCCCTTCTACCTATTTTTTCCTGTCCAATGCTTCCTTTCACAAAGAAGTAAATCAAAGGAAACGAATCAATAGTTCTGTTATACCTCATACATCTTCTCTCCAAGTCCCATAACGATACACCAAAATGGAAACCAGTATACGTAAAGGGATAAAATACGAATTGAAAAGGAGTCTCTATGTCGAAATTTCATGTAGATAATAGAAAGGCATGACAATGTAATGCAAATTTGTAAAGTTTGTTTAATTTATTTAACTTTTGAACTGAGAAGGGGTATAGGTTACAGACAGCTCCTTTTCAATATCCTATTTTCTCGTCTTTGCGTGTCTTTAATGCCTCGTGGTTGCTCCTTTACAGGCAAGATTGTTTATCTTTGTGTGTGTTGGTGTGGTAATAAAAAGGAAGAAAATGCTAAAAGGTAGTACCTTTTTGTGTATACTGTCCACAAGAGAAAATTAAATTAGTATCAGTAATGAAGTAAAAATGTATACAATGATCAGGTATATTATCTGTAGGGGACTGTTTCAATAGGCGTCATGAGACCTATAGCAACGAAAATAAACTAAATATGGAAAATAAGATTTATGAAGACAGCAGATATTTCACGTGGCAAAGTTTTACCTTCATGAGTGTGGGAAGAGCAGCGGAATTGAGAGTTTTGAAACCCTCTAATTAGGTTAATTTGTGTTTTTCCCCTGACAACTTGACTATATAATATTATTATTCTAACTAGTATCATTATTGTTTTCTTATTGTTGTTGCCTTTCTTGCACTGACTACTTGATATATTCTACTTTTTTTCACTTTTAAAGACAATAAATTCCGATTTATGTGTTCGTTTTCTCGCTATAACAAAACAAAATCCTCTTTTTACACCACCTTTACGACTATTGTTTACTTCAAACTCTTTTCTCTTTTTTTATGTCCTCTTGTTCCATTGTGGGATTTCTTTCATCCCTCAACGCAAGCAAGAAAGATTTGGAGGGGTCAAATATGAAAAAGATTATATCAGTGAAGATATAAACAAGATCTAAATGTTAAAATCGTAACCTACCAGTGAACAGAATAAATTAGAAAAAAAACACATTCTACGATAGCATGCCAATTTTTTTAAAACCTGCACTATGCTAAACCGGTTTGCTTAAGCAACCCGTATGTGTGCGTTTTTTTTTAGTACTTGGACTGTTCGTTTTTGTCTTGAGTATTGCCTTTAGCTTTTTGTTATTCCATAAAATAGGACCCACGCAATCGATGTCTCCTGACATCATTTGGCTTGAAGGGGGTGGGGAGGGGTAAATAATGCTAATGATGTAATTAGAGAAGCAAAACAAACTAAAGGTAGGAGTGTGGATTAAAGATGCACTTTGTTTAGGTATACTATATAACACGAAGTGGTTAGCACTAAATTTCATGTTCTGTTATTCAAGGCCTTCTACTACTTTCTATTCTTATGTTTACATTTCTACACATCAAATGACTGAGTGCAATTGGATGTTGCTAAATGTCCCAAAGCAAACTGATAGTCTGCAAGTTTTTTCCCTTACCAACAGTATTATTGCTGCTTATTGTTTCTGAGGTGAATAATACGAAAAATTTTAATCCTCCTGATGAGTTTAGTATCTTTGGGGAGGATCGTTGCAAAGGTTACTTTTCATGGGATTAAAGATGCATCTCAAGGGTACCAAAAAGAAAAAAGGATAGTTACCAATCACATGACGGTTTAGATTCCTTCCTCGAAGGGTATATCCAATGTGCATTTTTCCCACTTATTTGTTTTTGCGTCACTAAATTTGTTTTCTCTTTTAAATATTTAGTGTGTCCTAGTTGAGATATTTTTCCTGTGAAATTATTATTTCATGTTTTGTTGTAAACGTTTGCTGGCATGTGAAGCTTAAAAGAAAATTCCATGAGCTGTACCAGTTTCATTATCGGATATTGCTGTTTTTCTGTAGGAGTTTCTCGATTGGTCTGATGGGTTGAAAATAAGACAGGAGTTTTTCTTCAAGAATAAACCCATATTTTCAAAACATCTAAATCCATTCTTCATTATCAAATAACTTTTACAACTTTTCACTGCGTATGGAGTTTAAAGAAATTTTACCAATCGCGTTTTTTTTGTAACTTTGTGAATAAAATTTGCGGTGCCGCGAAATGACTTTTCGAATGTGTTTGTTTTCTTTCCTTTTAATATACTCTTTGCCTGTCTTATTCATGTAGTGAACATGAATGAGCACCAAGACGCAAATGGGTTATCCTGTTTGTATCGATCTTCAAGCATGGTAGATCCGAGTAACGGACTAGTTTATCGGTCTTGGCGTCAGGGACTCTGAGGCTAGGATGGGGTCAACCAACAG